ACCAACTGCTGGGGGTAGATCTGGGCAGAGAGGCTCAACTCCCCTGTCAGCTGTGTATGAGGCCCATTGGGGGGCAGCCTGTCTATTCCCCGCTGGTTCGGAGTCTGACGGCCCTCTCGCTAGTGGCTAGTTCACAGGAGAGGCTTGCGAGAGGCTGTGGATAAAGCACTGGATTGGGACTCAGGAGATCTTCCTTCTATTCTATTCCCTGGGCCCAGATCCTCAAAGGTATTTAGGGGCCTAACTCCCATTGAAGTCAATAAATTGCCTAGGAAGGTTGTGGAATCTCCATCTCTGGAGCTATTTAAGAGTAGGTTAGATAAATGTCTATCAGGGATGGTCTAGACAGTATTTGGTCCTGCCGTGCGGGCAGGGGCCTGGACTCGATGACCTCTCGAGGTCCCTTCCAGTCCTAGAATCTATGAATCAATGAGAGATAGGTGCCTAAGTCTCTCTGTGGATCTGGGCCGGCCTTAGTTCCAGCTATTTAATGGCAGTGATATTCCTGCCCACATCTGCCGTGGCTAGTTAGATTGTAAGGGCTCTGGGGCAGGGACTGGCTCTCACTCGGTCTGTGTGAAACGCCCACGGACCCCAGTCGTTGGTGGGCGGAATCAAACCTGGGTCCTCAGTGCATGAGCTTCTATAACATGTGGAATAGCCAACGGGCTGTTAGCTAAGGGTGTAGAGCAGACTCATTAATCTCTCTAAGTGGTCTGGGTACCACTAGCTGGGACAGACACCACACCCAGGAGGTGTGTGGGTTACCTGTGCAGCAGCTGGCACATCAGGGCCCTGGATCTCAGCCAGGTTCTGCAGGCTCTACAGTAACGAGCTATTTCTGATAGCAGCCTATTAGTGCCAGCTAAGGGAGGTATTTGTCATCATCATGGCAAATGCCAAAGAGGGGCGTGGCCTCCTTGTGGTTCAAGTTGCCACCCAACTGTTATTCCTGGAGCGCAGAGAGGTAAAGGCCCCTCTGCTTCCAGGGCTCGCTCGGGCCTGGCTGGTGAGCCAAGAGGCGAGGTCCTGCCCCCAAGCCAGAACACGGACGTGCTCCTGAAAGCGCCTCCCTGCCGCCCACTCTGGAATAGCCGAGCAGGGTTAACATGGGCCCCAGGACAGAGATGAAGGCAGCACCGGCCCGGGCACTGGGGAGAGGGAGAGGCGCTCCACCGTGATTGGGCCGGGAGTGGGGGTGGGGTGCTGCTACAAAGGAGATTTCTGGCCCTGGGCTTCCAGGGGAGCTCCAGGCCGGGATCTCTGAATTCAGACAGGGGTGGTGGGTGAGCTGGGTCTGGCAGGCTCAGCTGGGATGGTCTCTTGTGCTGGGGTAGGTGGGTCTGCTGTGGTCAGTCACTGGACTTTGGACAGGGAATGGCCCTCGTCCAGCAGGGTATGGCGAGGTGAGACACTGCAGAGACTGGGATCTCACTGTGGGGACAGCTGGGTGGCCACCGCCATTGCGAGGGGCACATAAGAATGGCCAGGCTGGGTCAGACCAATGGTCCATCTAGCCCAGTATCTGGCTTCCGACAGTGGCCAATGCCAGGTGCTTCAGAGGGAACGAACAGAACAGGACAATTATTGAGTGATCCATCCCCTGTTGTCCAGGCCCAACTTCTGGCAGTCAGAAGCTTAGGGACACCCAGAGCATGGAGTTGCGACCCCCCTTGGCTAATAGCCATTGATGGACCTATCCTCCAGGAATTTCTCTAGTTCTTTTTTGAACCCAGTTATACTTTTGGCCTTCACAACATCCCCCGGCAAGGAGTTCCACCAGTTGTCTGGGTGTTGTGTGAACAAATACTGCCCTGTGTTTGATTTATACCTGCTGTCTAGTCATTTCATTGAGTGACCCCCACTTTCTCCAAACCAGTCATGATTGTATAGCCTTCTATCCTAGCCCCCCGTTAGTGTTCCCCGGGGGGGCGTGCCAGGGATTTATCCAGTGGCATCAGGATATTTTCAGAACATGAAACAGGGGGAGCAGCAGGCTGGGCCCCGGGCTCCCAGCCAGCACATGTGGGGCCCACCGGGCCCCGGGGGGCGCTCCTGGAGCCCTGCAGGGGTGACCTGGGAGCAGCAAGGCCAGAGCCTTGGGGGGCGGGAGGGGGACTCCAGGGCTCATGTCCCTTTAGGTCCTGCTCCCTCGCTGCCGAGCCATGGGGGGAGAAGGGGGCAGCCGCCCTGCGGGATCAGCACAGCACCGCGCAAACATGAGCCCATCGACGGCGCTGCGTGGCCGGTCACATCCCACAGCCCCCGCGGCCCACGGACGATGCTCCGCGGGGGCCAGTTTGCCGAGGCTCTGGGCGTCCTGCCAGCCCCGTCCCCGCAGGTCCCGGCTCAGAGCTGCGCTGCCGGCCGCAGTGGGTCGTTTCAGCTCCGACGAGCCAGCGACCTTCCTCCCTTCGCCGCCTGCTTCCCCGTGGGGCCGTAAATGTCAGGGGGCGGCCGCTGTCTCCCTGATCGCGGGTTTGTTCAGGTTCCCGCAGGGGCCGCTTTCCCCGCAAGCCCGAGCCCGACCCTTCCCAGCCAGGGCCCCAAGCCGCTCCACCAGCCCCTCCCCGGCAAAGCGCCAAAGTCCCCCGCGTCGGCTCCACGCGAGTCCGCGCACCCGCCCCGCTGCTGCCCGGCTCTGCGTAGCACAGGTGGTTCATGCGGGACACTGAGCTAAGACAGTGTCCCAGGTGGGCCCTGCTGGGTGCCCCGCCGCACGGTGCTCCTGACGCGGGTGCCCCTCTGCCCACGCAGCGTCCCCCGGGCCTGTCTGAAGCCAGGGGCCGAAGGCCGGAGGGGCCTGTCCCGGCTCAAGGAGGTGGAAGGGAGCAGCCACCAGGACCCTACGTGGTGGTGATTGGAGCCACTCCGGGCAGCGGCCTGCTGGGCTGGGAGCCGTGGGGAGGCCGGTGCCGCCCACGGGCCGGAGTCAGGGCCCGGCCACGCAGGGCTGGAGCACGAAGGGGCCACGGCAGAGCGTCAGGCGGCCCCCTTAGCACCACGCCCCCCCTTGTCTGTCGCTAGCCCCCCCCAATCGTTTAGTTTCTCTCCCAGCCGGCGGGGAGCTGGGTAACTGAGTCTCAGTCCCGGGGTGGGGGGAACTCCAGACCGCACAGGTGTTGCGGTGGCAGCAGCACAGGGTGGCACTGGGACCCCCCCCCCAGGGCTGCGTCTAGAGTCCGAGCCGTGGGGCTCAGGTCCGCCACCTCCCAGTGATCGCGCCGGAGTCTGGCCTCGGGGCTCAGCTTCTCCTGCCGCAGGGAAACCGCGCTCAGGTGTTTCCTAACGCCAGGGCCCCCAGCGCCGCCCCCAGCGGTGACTGCAATCTGCACGTGCCACCCCTGGGCGCCAGGTTTGTCTCATTTTTGGTGGTGTCCAGAAGGGGTCCAAGCAGAGCCGTCGGGTCCATCGGAGGGACCAGGACAAGCACCGTGGGCCCCATGCTTTGAGGGGGGGGCGTGCTTCAGGGGGACGTGGGATCCAGGGCGGCCTGGGGGGCCAGCGGGGGGCCTGGCACCATTTTTTGGGACTGACTGAGTGGTCAATATCCACTGCTTAGGTCCTGATCCAGTGAATCACTGCAGTATGCCTGTGGTGCCATTGAAGTCAATGGGACAACCCCTCTCTTGAAACACTTTGCCGGCCCCAAGCTTAGGATGTGATTTTTCTAAGCCTAAGAACAGACTTTGAAGACGTTATTTGTGAAACCTGGGGATGACTCTGGGGAGTGGACTTTGTACCCGAATGTTTAACGACGTTAGTTATAAATACTCTGACTGGCACGTCTTCAACACCACACTCCCCTAGGTGACGATGTACATGGGCCCGTGTTGGCTCAAACAGCCTCTTGCAAAGGACATTCATCCGCCCCCTCGCCAGGCTCGCTTCCCTCCCGTTTGGCAAACAGGGCTGGGCGTGTAACTCTGCAGACGGGGCCCACAGGGCTGGTGCATACTGCATTGCTTTTGCCTGGGTCCAGCTCGAACCCCAACAGACGAGCTCAGTGACGGAGCAGTGGGTTTGTATTTCTTTTCCAGAACCCGGCAATCGTGGGGAAATCCAGGCCGATGGCCCATCCCGCGTCAGCAGGGGAGAGGGCACAGCCGCCCAGAGCAGCCCATGGAGCAATGCCCGCCAGGAGGGCCTCGCACCCAGAGTGCCAGGGGGAGGGCGGATTGGCTAAACACAGGTGGGCTTCGAGAAACCGTCCACACTGCGCAATGCCAGTGTGCTGAGCTGGTTACGGGATAGCACCACGCCAGGCCGGCACCTTCTGGGCCACGGGGGTTCCTGACTGGGACTGCACCACGCTGCCCGAGCACTGGCTCCGCAGCTCCCATTGGCTAGGAACCATGGCCAATGGAAGCTGCAGGGGCGGCGCGCAGAGGCCCCTGGCCACCCCTCCACCTAGGAGCCGGAGGAACATGTCGCCGTTTCCCAGGAGCCACCTGAGGTCAGCACTTTCTGGAGACTGCACCCCAACCCCCTGCCTCAGCCCTGAGCCCCCTCCTGCATGCAAACTCCCTACCAGAGCCCACACCCCAAACTCCCTTGCCACAGCCCACATCCTGAACCCCTCATTTCTGGCCCCATCCCATACTCCGAACTCCTCAGCCCCATCCCCTAGCCCCCTCCTGCACCCCAACCCCCTCATCCCCGGCCCCACCCCAGAGCCTGCACCACCAGCCAGAGCCCTCACCCCCTCCCACACCCCAACCCCCTGCCCCAGCCAGGTGAAAATGAGCGAGTGAGTGAGGTTGGGGGAGAGCGAGCAGGGGATAGCATGAGCAAGGGCGGGACCTCGGGGAAGGGGTGTTCAGTTTTCTGCCATTAGAAAGTTGGCAACCCTCGCCCCGTCACTGGTGTTTGACTTAAGCAACTTCCAGCAGGAGAGCAGGGCTGGCTCCACTCAGTAAAAGCTGGAGATCCGGGCCCCCTGGCCAAGCAAACGGCTCACCCGCCCCCCCACCACACAACCACGCCAGCTGCCGTCAGGTCATTCCAGGTTTTATTCCCGCCCCTGCACATACAGCGTGACAAGGAGCTCTACGGGGCCTGGGGCGCACGCTCCAGGCCGGCCAGGCTCAGCGGCGTCGCTAGCGTTACGTACGAAGGACTTGGAAGAGGCCGCAGAGCTTGGCACGCCACCGATCGCATCATCTGACTTGACCCTGCAGCACCCCCCATTGGTGCCTAGTGGGACTGCAGGTGAGCGGGGCAGGGAACGTCCTCCTTCAATGGCTCCCCTTGGGAATGAGCATGCACATGGAGGACATTCAAACCATGGTAGAAGCTTTTCTATAGCCTCAAAATGATCCCCTCCCTGCCCCTCTGCGGGGCTGGTCTGGAACAGCTGCATGTCATTGGTGGCTGCAGCTTGGAGCCAGCTGCAATTGGCTTAACGGGCAGGGGAGTGCATGGCCCTGGCTCCCCCCCGCGCAGCCCTGCGTTGACCTATCACCCCGTCCCATGCACAACCGTAACTTGCTCTAAGTGTCGAGACGTGGGGTAGAGTGGTAGTAGCTTTGTCAGGCTATTAGATTGAAACATGGTTGGCGAACACAAATAATTGGGGGCTTTACGCTTTGCCTGTCTCCGTGGGAAAGGCTGGATTTTAGTCATGCTAAAGCCGGGCTTTTAGCTCATGTGCTTCCAGCCTGAGAACGTAACCCCAGGTGGTGAGTTCTGGTTTCTGCAAGGCCCCCTTTTGCAATCAGGGCGTCTCGGAGTCTGGCAGCTTGGTAACCAGGCGGTACCTAGATAGTTCGGCTGTACGGATGTATAGGGATTGTTAAGAAATGATCCATGCAAATGATCAATGTTAACGAGTGGCAGTTTGGTTGTGGACACCGGGCACGGATAATGGACAGGGACAAACCTTAGCTGGCCCCAGAAAGGGACTGAATACGGATATGCAGCCCAGTCGTTACGGAAAGGATGGGTCTAAAACATCTGATTGAAGTCACCATATTTCAGGTTCTTTGGGCTCCTGATTCAGGGCTTCTGAGATGCTCCGTTTCTCATTCATCTCGTAGTGCCGCTGCGTGATTACGTGTCAGTGGGCTACCTCAGGGCTTGAAAACCTTTGGCCTTTATGGAGCTTTGGGCTCGTTAGTTATAACAAGGTATGTGCTCCTTGGGGGTCTGACTAATTGTGTCCCCTGTTGTGAACTGAGCCAGTACCCTATGCCAGTGGTCCCCAACCTTTTCCGCGGGGCGGGCGCCGGATGACTAGCCGCCGAGGACCGTGGCCGCCGGACAAGCAGCCACTGAAATGCCGCCGTGAAGCGGCAACGTCAAGAGGCATCGTTGCCAAAATGCCAAATTTCGGCGGTAGCGCTTCTTGATGTTGCTGCTTCTCGGCGGCATTTCGGCAGCTGCTTCTCCGGCAGCCAGTAGGTAGGCGCACATGGATGCCATGGTGCCCGCGGGCACCGCGTTGGGGACCCCTGCCCTATGCAAAGGGAAAGGTCTGTGTAGCCCAGTTTGGGAAGGACCTGAGCTCATCACTATCGCCAGGGTGGGGTCAATCCACAAACATTCTAAGTGTGAGAAATTGACAGCCTGGTTCTGACAGGGGGACAGGACGTGACAGACACAGAGGCCTGGGTGTAGCACTGGCTGCTGGCGTCTATTTGTTGCCCCCTGCCTCTCCTGCCCGCCTCACACCCCTTGCAGCCATGACCCCCAGAGAGGCCAGCCCAGCTCGCTCTGGACGATCTTGGCTCAGAAGGGATGTGAGCTGGGGCTGACAGACTGATTCCGAGAGGAAGGGAAAAGCCGGCACAGGGTCTCTGTCCCCACTGGTATCTCCGCGCGGCCGTGACAGGAGCCGTAAATTGCACCAGCACCTTGGGCGATGGGCCCACTGGGGCTCAGACCAACCGTGTGCATGCGGGAGGATGCACAACAGGGCAGAGCAGGGGGGTCTCGCTGCTCCTCCCTGGGGCGTTTGCGTGGCCGCGTTTGCAGTGCATTTCTCAGTGCACCCTTCCAGCTGCTGCTCTGTGCCCCGGGGCCGCTCGCCTCTGAACGGGGTGACCTTGAAGCTGACAGCCAGCCCCACTCACAGCGATTAGGAGGGTCCCGCGGCATGGGCCAGAGTCAGCCGGATGCATGGGGCCCCCATTGCCGATTGCCTTGGACCCATCACCGCCCGTCTTGGAGGCAGCAAAGCGTTCGCAGGCTGGGGGCGAGCGAGGGGCCCGCTGGGCTGACTCAGCCAGGAGCGCAGCGACAGCCAGCGACAGCTTCCTCCTCCGGGCTCGGGATACTCCTCACACGCCAGCTGCCTCATTACCTACACCCAGGCCGGGCACACGGCTCCGGGTCCGACGAGCCTCGCCCTGGCACGCTGGAGGTCGAAGGTCGTCTGTGGGGCGTTGCCGCTTTCCTGGCCCCCCTGGACAGCTCTGGTTCGGCCCCTTCCCGCCCTGCCAGTGGCAAGTCACCTGATGGAGTGTGGACGGGGCCCGGCCCCAGCCAGCTCTGCCTTCCCATCTGCCACGCCTCCGGGGGCTGCTCCCAGCCGGCGCCACTGGCTCATGCCGCTGGATGAAAGGCTGCTTGCTGGCAGGGTGGAGAGGGAACGGCAGGGTTAGAATTCAACCAACGGTATCGGCTCCAGGCCCGATCCTGCAAGCGAGGGATGGGGAGGCCCCTTGTGTTGCAGGATTGGGCCCACACAGTAGCACTGTAACTATAGGGGGTGGCTAGAGCAGGGGGAAGGGGGTAATCAAATCCTGCAAGTGGGGGAGAGGGTAAAACGGTGCCTCGTTCCAGCTCCGCAGGGGGACACAGACCAGGGTGGTCTGAAGGCGCTAACCAGGGCTGTGTCTGGGTGGGGGTGGCATTTCCCCACTGCAGCGCTGCACTCTTCCTCCAGCTGATGTGAAACCGCGAGTGCTGCAGGGATACACTCAAGCGCCCATTTCTCTCTGGCCTCCAGCTACCCCCTGCCCACACACAGCTCCTAGCTACCCCCTCCCTGCACCCTGAGCTGTTTTCAAACTTTTTGAGCCGAGTCCCCCCATTGAGTTACATTTTTTGGCTGTCCCCCCACAGCCCAGACAGGCAGGCAGCCTGCTGAGGTTAGCCAGGGCGTGGAGGTGTCGCTCCCTCCCCGGGCCCTGCTGTGCGGAGCTGGCTTAACCCCCGCTGGCACCTGCCCACCCAAAATAGAAATCAAACTACACCTATGCCCGAGTCCCCCTCCCCCCATCCCAGAGCCCCGAGTTCTCCCCTCCCTCACTGGGCCCTGGAGTTTTATAACATGTGGGGGGGGTGGAGGGGCTCAGAAAGAAAAAGGTTGAGACCCCCTGGCCTACACCAAGGAGCCGCCCTGTCCTGCTTTCAGTCCCTCCTGCAGGAGCCTCCTTTCCCAGGGTGATTTCTTGCCCCCAGTTGCTAGCTGAGGTTGCCATGTGAGCCAAATTCGGCCCCAGTGTAACTCCACCAGCCTTCCCCAGCCCCATGGAGATAGCTCGTGCCCTCGGCTCGATGGGCTGCGCCCGCTGACCCCAGGGGAGAGCAGAACGTGGGTGCAACGGTCAGCAGTCCTCGGCACGGCCACTGCAACGCGAAGCGTTCTGGAAACTCCCACCCCATGCGTCTCAAGCGGCCCCCCGGGGACGGACCCGTTTCTCCGCATTTCTCACGTCCCGTCCTGTTCGTTCGGGGGCAGCAGCAATACCCCAATAATCAGACCGAAATGGGAATGAAGAGAGAGGAGCAACCCCCTGTGGGGGGCCTGGGAGCAGGGGGGGGGGCAGTTCCCCACCCTGGCACACAGCCCCCTTTAGGAGTCAGATGGCAACATTGCCACGCCCGCTCTGCCCACAGTGACCCAGCAGGGGCCCACCAGGAGCGTGTGGGGATGGGCCAGGGAAAGGTGAGCGCCCTGGGTGTGCATTGCACAAACAACACCACACAACACACCACAGCAAGCAACAACTATCGAGAAACAGCGGCAGGAGATGTTCCCAGAGTCTGTCTTACGGGGTGCTGGTCCTAGCCCGGTCTGCCCCCAGAGCCCATTCCAGGTGAGCAGAGAGATCCAGTCCGGGTTAGTCACCTGGCCTGACCTAACTGCAGATCCCACTGGCTAAGTCCCCCACCCCGCTACAGGTGCAGGGAAATCCAGGACCAGAGTTTGTGTTGCCGGAAGAGGATTCTGGAGTCGGGGGGGGGGAGCGGGGGGAGTGATGGAAATGAGCCAGCCGGCAGAACCTAATGGCAGAGAAGGGCAGAGAAACCAGGAGCCCATTGCAGCAGGCGTGGACGGGCTGAGAACGACAGGACTTGAGCCCTGCGGGTCAGAACAGCACGCTCAGTTCGGCCCTCAGAGCGCAGGCCCGGGTGCCGGGCTGCCCTCACCCTTGCTCCCTGCTGAGAGCAGAAGCCCCCCACACTTGACCTGCTGATATGCCCCAGAGCTGATCTACTCCAGCCCTCGCTCGGGCTGAGAGGGGAGCTGAGTCTCCATGGCCCATTGGATCCTTGGCCTCTCTCCTGGGGCAGCCGACAGGGATGCACCGGGATGGCGGCGTTTCCCTTTAAGAATGGGTGTGACCCATGAATTGAAGTTCACTGGTAGGTATCTGGCCCGCAGACCTCGAGGTACCAGCAGGCCTACCGTGCATCCCCAGCAGGTCCCCGCTTTGCAGGATCTCGCACTGAGGCCACCCGTTCCCAAATGCCGAGTCCTGAAGCGACCCGTCAGCTCCCACCCGCTTTGTGACAGGAAGTGGCTCTATCCCAGGGGTCAGCGGGCTAGTGCAGGAGCCCACTTCACTCAGAGATCTGGTGTCCCAAAGGTGATACGGGCTTGGTGGCTTCTGCTTGACTCTGACAGACGTTTGTCCGTATCCCAAACCCCTGCCCACAGAGGCCTAGGCTGGAAGAGCGGGGCAGCGGATGCAGGTGAGGACTGCGGGGTAACAGCGGAGTTGGGGGGGGATCGGACTGGACAGATGGGCACTGAAGTGCACCGGCAGAGCTGTGCATGCGGAATTTCCCACACTTGTCCGCGCTACGCTCCGAGTTCCTCACTTAGCTAAGTCACCGCAGAACAAAAATGAGTCTCTCCTGATGCGCCAGCGCGGAGAGCCTGTGGCAAACAGCTGGCAGAGGGTGAGGACATAGCGAGAAGCAGAGCGATTCCACCCATGGGGCCAGACCTCAACTGTCCTCCCTCCAGCCTCTCCAGCCCAGGGCCTCCCACTCCGTGGGGCTCCTGTCAGTCGCTCGCTAGCCCGCCTCTGTTTCACAGAGGGACAAGGACAGACCCGTGCCCACCGGCTCCTCGCACACTGACCTGGCGAAGCTGAGTCGCGACTCACCGTCAGCAGCACCTCCTGGTTATCGGCCAGCGCCTGCTTGGCTAAGTAGCGCTCTCGCTTGATCTTCAGCTCCAGCGACCCCGGGACGTCAGGCACCAGCCAGTCGATGAGGCGCAGGAAGAAAAAGACGACGTGCTGATGGGGCGGGGGGAGCGGAGGGGAAAGTGGCGAGGAGAGGCAAGGACAAACGAGCGAAGAGAGTGGCAGGGAGGATAAAGGCACGTGGAAAACAAGAAGAAAGGACGAGGTTCAGAGAGGCTCCATTCGAAATGGCCCAGCTGTCTCTACTCTGTTAGTCATGGCCAGAGGGGAAGGCTGGCCCAGTGGTTAGGGCCCGAACTTGGCACTTAGCCTTGTGGGGCGTCAAGGAGTCGTGAGGACAGACACACTGACAACCGTGTGGGGCTCGGGTACTACTGCGCAGATCCCAGCCCTGCAGAGCTGTCCACCCAGCCCCACAGAGGGCAGCCGCTGCGAGCCACTCGCCTAGTCACTGAGACTGTTTTAAGCAGTAGGCAGGGTGCTAAATGTGGCCTGGACCCAGCCCTGCCTTTCAGGCCACACTGGGTACCGCCCATCCCCTCCCTTTGATTCCCAAGCTCCTGGCCCAGCCCAGGTCAGAATCACCCCCAGTCGACGTCTGGCCGCCGTCAACCCCTCCAGGTTTGCCCTCCACCCGAACCTCTGCATTCCCAGAGGTTGGGAGCTTCATCCCAAACCGCCGGGGGCAGAGAGCCTCTGTCGGGCTCCTAATGCTCCGGTCACACACACGACAATAACGGGGCCTCTCGCCAGAGTCCTGGAGCCTCTGCTCCAGCTGGGCTTGGATACGCAGCACCGATTCATCGCCCGAGTGCGTCATGGACAGTCAGGAAAGGGCTGTACAGCCGGCCTCCCTGGCATGGTCCCTGCGCCTCTGGAGGGAGCCGGGGAGGGCGGAAAGTCAGGTGACAATGCCAAATAGTTGGGATGGGGCAGGTCCTTGGAAAGGGTCCACAGCTCAGGTCTGGTTCGAGCCGGGGTCTCGGGGTGAGGTTTGTGTGTCCAGACTGGCTCCTCTGCCCGTCAATGCAAACCCCCCCCCCCCGGAGGTTTCTGATCCACTTGGAAAGAAATAAACCAGGGGGATGGGCTTGGTCCAGGACCCTAAAGGGACACAGCAGAGAAGAAGGGGCAGCCCAGCCCCTCCTCCCTCGCTCGCAGCTCCCTGGCCTGGCCTGGGTCCAGCCCGGCTGGCAGGGGCTCTGCGCGGCACAGGGGGCCGGTGGGAGGATCGCCGAGCCCACGCCTGCACGGTGCCGACCGAGGCTCACCTCAAAAGCGATGATGAAGCCCAGGCGGACGGCCAGCAGCTTCCAGTAGAAGAGGGTGTAGTTCCCATTGGCATCCCGGAAGGCTTTGTACCTGGGCAGAGGGGCAGCAGCTTAGGGGGGGCTGGCTCAGTCCCCCACTCGTGGGCCTCACCTTGGTGGGTGGGGCGAGGAGAGGTGCTTGACTGACAGCCCTGGCAGCTCCCACACTCCAACCCCCCAAAACTAGATCCCCCCGGGGGGCAAGTTGGGAGGTCAGGCCCCACAGCCCAGTCAGCCCTGGGTCCCTGCTGACCTGCCAGTGAGTGGCCAGCTGGTGCCAAGGGGGCGGAGCCTTCCTGGTAGCTGCCCTTTGGGAACTGGACTGAGACCCACCAACCTCATCTCACACAAGCCCCCACCGTGACCCCGTGGCAAACAGCTCCAGACCCAACCCCAGGGAAGTCTCGGAAAATGGGCTTGGGTCTGCTCAGCTGGGGAGAGAAGGGTTTTAACTGCAACTCCCCATCATCCTCCCCCTTGCCTTCTCCCCAGCCCCCTGTGCGGTCCCTCCCCTTTCCCCATTGACCCATCCCCCCTCCCACCACCTCCCCCGTCGCCCCTCCCACCACCTCCCCGTGCCTGGCACCTGCACAGGGTGTGGTTGCCGGTGGCCAGGTAGCGCGGGGGGGAGTAGGCCAGGGTGAAGTTGACGTAGCCCTGCAGCTGGCTGTCGTGCTCGTACTGGTAGAGGAGCCGGGGCAGGAAGTCGGAGGTGAAGGCGATGAGGAAGGCCTGAGTGCGCAAGGACGAGGGTCAAGAGCAAGTAATCTGGGACGTCCCCCGATCCCGCCTCCCCGGGGGTGAGAACAGCGCCACCCTGCTGAGCCAGGGTTCCCCGCCGTGGGGTGCACGGGGCTGCCACAGGGGGGCTGGAGGCTCGGGCCACGGGCTGCCCTGCTGGGAGCGATGGAGGAGAGGAATGTGGCTGGCAGGGGGAGGAGAGCGGCCAAGTCAGTGCAGGGTTTCAGGGACCACATAGGGGCCCGTGCGTGACTGCCCTGAGAGCCAGGGAGTTTTCCTAATGTCCGATCTAAACCGCCCTTGCTGCAATTTCAGCCCCTTGCTTCTTGTCCTATCCTCAGAGGTTAACGAGAACAATTTATCACCCTCCTTCTTGTCACAACCTTTTACGTGCTTGAAAACTGTCATGTCCCCTCTCAGTCTTCTCTTCTCCACACTAAACAAACCCAGTTCTTTCAATCTTCCCTCCTAGGTCATGTTTTCTAGACCTTTAATCATTTTTGCTGCTCTTCTCTGGACTTTCTCCAATTTGTCCACACCTTTCCTGAAACGTGGCACCCAGAATTGGACACAATACTCCAGCTGAGGCCATATAAACGCAGAGTAGAGCAGAAGAATTACTTCTCGTGTCTTACGTACAGTATTCCTGCTAATACATCCCAGAATGATGTTTGCTTTTCTTGCACCCATGTTACACTGTTGACTCATATTTAGCTTGTGGTCCACTCTGACCCCCAGATCCCTTTCTGCAGGACGCCTTCCTAGGCCGTCATTGCCCATTGTGTGTGTGTGCAACTGATGGTTCCTTCCTCAGTGCAGTACTTTGCATTTGTCCTTATTGAATTTCATCCTATTGACTTCAGACCATTTCTCCAGTTTGTCCAGATCATTTTGAATTTTAATCCTGTCCTCCAAAGCACTTGCAACCCCTCTCAGCTTGGTATCGTCCGCAAACTTTATAAGTGTACTCTCTGTGCCATTATCTAAATCATTGATGAAGATATTGAACAGAACCGGACACAGAACCGAACCCTGCGGGTCCCCACTCATTATGTCCTTCCAGCATGACTGTGAACCACTGATAACGACTCTCTGGGAACGGTTTTCCAACCAGTTCTGTACCCACCTTATAGTAGGCGATATTACTCTAGTTTGTTTAAGAGAAGGTCACATGAGAGAGTATCAAAAGCCTAACTAAAGTCGAACTACACCACATCTACCGCTTCCCCCATCCACACAGCTTGTCACCCTGTCAAAGAACGTTTCTCTCAAGTCACCTAAGACCAGATGGAGGGTGTCAGAGATCGGAGAGGGGGATTGGGCGCCATAGGGATACATGTGGGAGCCTGGATGGGTGTCACAGGGCGCACCACCAACTCCCAGCCCCTGAAGAAGCACCAGGTGCAGGGAAAACTGGGGCACATGGTACCCTGCTCTGGCAACCTCCTGTCTTCAAAGCCCATCCCCAAGGCAGACAGGGCACAATCCACCCTCACCTTCACCCGGGCATGGCTCCTTTAGGGCCCTGTGTGCATGGCGCCCACCCCACGCAGCTCATGCCAGGGACAGGCCGGGGGCAGCTCAGGGATAGGCAGCCAGCAGAGGGAGGAAGGAGGATGCCAGGGAAGCAGCAGGAGACTGCTCCAAGCAGGGGGGCAGTGGGAAGGGAGGCAGGGAGCCAGCAGGGCACGGGAGGGGCAGGGTGAGTCGAGAGAGGACAGGGCATTGGATTGTTCCAGGCCACGGGGGCTGCTCAGTGCCTGGCCTGGGAACGGCCTCCGAGGAGCCGGCTCTGCACTCACGTTGACGACGACAGAGATCTGAGCCAGGACGTCCAGGATGAGGAACCAGACCCCGATGCCCTGGGCGCGGTAGGCCACCGGGCGCCGGTACTCGCACACGAACTTCTGGGCGTCCAGGCGGATCTCCACCCAGTTATTGAGCAGGGCGAAGAGCGGGGCCAGCGGGAAGGCAGCCACGAAGATCGTGATGAACCCGAACTGCAGCACTGCGAGCCCAAGGGAGCAAGGAGTGAGGCGGCCGCTCAGCCAGCGTCTGCTCCCCCATCGCCAGCAGGATCCCATGAAGCGCCCCCTGCTGGGACAGGCTGGGACTGGAGTACCTGGGCGCTCCCCTCCACAGCCAGCTCTTCTGCCCCGTGCCCTGCAGCGCCCCCTGCTGCAAACGGCTGGGCGCTCCCCCAGCCAGCGCTCTCTATAGGATTAATAGCTTTTAGTTACAAATCAAACACCTCCCAGGCCTGGCCGCGGCTCTCCCTCCAGCGGCGGGGCTGGGTATACAGCTCCCTGCATTAAGGCTGAAGCTCCAGCGACCTGCGGGCTGGGATTTCCACACAGGCTGAGCCAGAGTCGCTGGGCACCAGCTGCCAGCCTGTCTCCTCACCCGGCCGGCTGCGCCCCTCGCTCACCCATCTCCAGGTACTCTTCAAAGAGCCCCTCGCACTCGATCAGCTCGTAGTCCTCCTCCCAGCGCGGGGGCTCCTGGCTGATCTGCGCGCCCCGCACCCTGGCCAGTTTGCGCTTCTGCCGCCAGGCCTTCAGCTTGCTGCAGAGGGGAAGGGGGACAGGGGAGAATCCGTGGGCTGGTTCGTGGAGTGTGCGCGTGGAGGATGGGGGCTGCTTTTATACCAGCCAGAGGGAGCGAGGCACAGAGCCACGTCTTGTATCACACAGGTGCTGTCCAGGGTTTCCCTGCAACCACCACAGGTGGGACCTGCCATCTGCTAGAGCAATGGGTCAGTGCCAAGAGCCCCCCAGCCTGCCTCGGGCTTGGCAAGAGGAGAAACCGGCACTGGATTTCTGAGCCGTCCGGCTCAGTCCCTAGACCCTCCTTTCCCACCTGACTGTAACCGAATGCCATGGCCTGACCCTGACTTCTGGCTCCTGCCTGGGTGGCCCGGATGGTTCCCAGCCCTAGGGGATGGGGTGTACCCCGACACAACCCCGGTAGCTCCTGGCCTCCTAACACCAAGCTGCCCCCATCGCCAGGCTCCGCCGGGCACTCACGGGATGACGAACTCCTGGACGTTGCTGATGATCTGTTTCCCCACCATGATGATGAACAGCTGCTGCGCCAGTTCGATCAGGCACCCCCCGGGGCCGCACTGCGGGAGCCAGGAGCACACGGTCACTCAGGCCTGGCCTGGCTTAGCTCAGCGGCCGGCTTGGCCTGCACTTCCCCGGTGCAGAACGACCCAGCCAGCCCCAGCCTTGGGGGAGAGAGACCTGAGCCTCGGGAGGTCCAGCCCCACACGCTCCCAGCACAGGCCAGACCAGCTCCGCGCTGGGATCGCATGGCCTCTCCCCTGGCAGCCCCAGCAGACTCCTAGCATGGGAGCCCCCACCCCGGGGTCCATCTCGGCCTGGATCCCAACCCTGAGAGCGGCCACTGCCAGGTGCAATTATCTGCCCCGGGCAGAACTGTCTGCCTGGCAGCATCAGAGAAGCCCCGCAGGGTCCCTAAGGCTGTTGCGGTGGGACATAACAGGAGTGTCTCCTAAGGGCTGGGCATGCTGAGGATGGGGTGATGGGACCCCAAGGAAGCAGGGAGTGTGGCTGGTAAAGGACAAACCATCAAAGCTCTTTGGAGGGGGGACTGGCTCTTTGTTCTGGGTTTGTACAGCATCAAGCGCCCTGGGGTTCTGGGCCGTAGCTGGGGCTCCAAGAGGCTCCCCGTGGTGTCCCCCACCCGGGAGACTCACCTCCTCGTTCCTCAGGCCGAGCAGCGTACCGTACTGCCCGGGGTACCCCACAAACCTGCGGGGACAGGAGACGCCTGGTCGGTTGTTTCTCTGATCTGCGGCAGGGCAGGCATGGACTGGCTCATTTCTCACAGTGCCTAACCACTGGGACAGACTGCCGAGGGGGGCGGGCTCTCCGTCTCCTCAGGGCTTCAGAGCCAGCCCGGTCGTTAGCCAAGCACAACTGCATGCCCAGCACAGGGTGACATCCTCGGGCGACCCAACGGCCCTTTCTGGCTCCACATCTCCTTGCTCTCACCCAGGCTGTCCCAAAGACAGAGCCCCCCCAGCGCCGGCTGCCCCTCCCCGGAAAGGAGAAGGGGCACTGGAGGGATGTGCGCTGGGTGCAGGGATCTGACCCTGCCAGGCAGTGAGATAGCACGTGGGGGCTCCATAAAGGGGGTCATGCAGCAGCAACTCTTCACTTCCAGCACAGACTCCCCCGCCCCCAGCATGCCAACAAGCATCATGGAGCCCCCAGCTCTGGGTGGGTGCCCGTCCCAGTCTCCCCTCGGAAGCAGCAATTGCAGCAGCCCAACCCCTTCCCTGCAGGACGGTCCTGCCAGTGAAGGGAGAAGGAACCTCACCCGGACCCTCTCTCATGCCACACGTGCTTTCCCTGTGGGGGTCATTCATGACTGTTCTTCAGCCCCGGTGGGGCTCTAAGGGCTCCCCCTGGTGGTAGATTTAATCCCTGCACTCCTCCCCCTGTTTGTGAGGGCCAGGCTCAAGGTCAGGGGTTTGAATCCAGGGTGGGTCAGGGTTCTGGTTTGCCAGTTCCCAGCTCCAAAACGATCTCACTTGCGCTCCAGCGACAGGAGACGGAAATCAGGACACCCAGGAGGTTTGGGATTTTTTCCACATAAATTTGGCGTTAAGTCATCTGCTCGGAAGAATTTCAGCTGCGTCTGGGAGAGCAGGGAGGCAGCATCTCTGAGCCAGCCAGCCGGCTGGTTGTGCAAAGCCCCTCGGGGATCTGACCCTCTTTCAGGTGTGGGGGGGCTTCTAATGTAATCTATGATGTGTTAATAATAACAGAGGATCCTGGCAACCACAGCGAGGACCCACCGGAAGAGGGCAGAGCCGTTTCACGTGGGGCGAGAGGGGGCGATAGATTCAATGGTGTATTCATAAACCTTGCCCGCCTGTGGTTTTTGGGGGGGAATCTCCAAGCCCACGGCTGAACAGTGCATCCATTGTGCAGGGGCATCGGCAGACACATGGCACAGGGATCCCGGGCATGACTGGAGCAGCCAGATGTTCCACAGATGAGTCACATCTGCCTTTTTGGTCCTCCCAGAGCAACCACATCATTCCTCCCTGACTGATCACTGAGCACCTTGGCTCCAGTCCCTCCCTACACAGGATGTGATTGAACTGGGGGATGGCAGGTGGCTCCAAGGGAGGGGGTTCCCCTCCCTAGGAAGGGGTGTCAAGAGTCAGCCACCCCTCCCCAGGACCTATCTCCATGGCCAGGTCATAATGGTGTTTGGAAGACACAGAATTAGGGGTAGAACAACATACCATACAGCCACCCAGCATGCTAACGTGTGCCATGCATAGCACACGCTGCCCTATAGGTCATGCATGTGCCGTGCACAGGCGCATGTGCCATCATGTGATATGCTTACAGCTCACGCAAGTGTGCATGCACCGTGTGCACTGTGCCAAACACGCTGGGCACGTTTACTGGCGTCATTCGTGGCAGTGCAGTGGAACGCAGCATGGCCCAGGGACAGAACGTCTCTCGAGTGGCTGTAGCCTCCAGCTCTGCCCACGGAGCCGGTTCCCTTCTACACCGTTCCCCTCCCGCCCTGCCTCATGTGATCCCCCGTCACCCGGACCCCTCGCACACAGAGCCGGGAGCAGCACGCCGTCTCGCACCTGCCTTTGAAGAAGGCCACGTAGAAGGGGGAGGAGTAGAAGTTGACAAACTGGAAGATGAAGACTTTGAAGGTGAAGGCGTCCTCGTGCAGGGTCTGGGTCCGGTGCATCTCTGCGGAGGGGACACAAGGGAACAGCGTCAGCAAGTCACACACGGACACTGCCCAGCGGCCTCGGTAGCCAGTCAGCTCCCCAGGCCAGCAGGCATGAGGCTACAGGAGGGAGCGTCACTTCCTCTGCCACTGAGGACACCCCCTCCCCTCGCTTCACATCTGAGCCATCCCCAGCTCACACCAGCGCCTCCTGCTGATAGACCCGGGCCCAGACCCTTTCAGGATTTTTGCAACGGTTTCTGGTCACAGCTCTGCCATCAGGGCTGAGACGGGCACAGGACCAATATACGTCCACATGGAACCCACAGTTCAGGAGCCAGGGTGTTTGTCCCACTGTAGTGGCTGGTCCGTGTAAGAGGGTAAGCGTCTACTACTGCTGCTAGCTTATGGAGTTGCTCCTTTAGCTCAAGTGGGAAAGGCGCGTTTGGCGCTGAATGCCGCAGGTTCAATCCCCCTTGGCGACCGATGGTGGAAGGGCTGTTACACAGTCAGTGGCTGGGGGACTCGAAGGCCTATTGCATGAGGTTCTCTCTCCAGCAGGGCCCGTATTGACAGGGGCTCTCAGCTGGCCTGGCTGTACAGCGAGTCGCAGGAACGTTCGGTCCCAAGCAAAGCCCTGCACAGACCAGTGGAAAGTGCATCAGCCAATCACAAATTCCACACGCCCACTAGTGACCTCGGTGCGGGGCTTATCCCGGTGGGAGTGCCCACCTGGGTCCCGCAGAGCCAGCCCCCTCCTCCCACACAGGGGACGGGCCGAGGGCTCTGTAGCTGAATTGGCCTGGGATGGAGAAACCATATTTATTTCACCAGAGCTCGGATCTGTGATACTTGCCCTTCCCCGAGCCCCGCCGCTGCCCCCACCACCGCGTCTGCACAGCACCCAGAAGGTGGCCAAGGCCAGGACGTGCCAGACCTTTGCAGAGGTGCAGGGTGGCCCCCCAGAGCTCGCTTGAGGTGGCACCATCCAGCCCCAGAAGCCAGAGTAGCCATGCTCCTCCGGGGCTGGGCCGAGGCTGAGGGCTCTGCAGGACAGTGGGAGCAGCCCGGGGGACGTTCCAGCCGGGCGGCACTGCCAATGGCTTCTCCCACTCACCCCACCTGGTGAGCTTCTCCGCCAGGGAGGTGTAGACCTGGCTCATAAGGAGGATCAGTGCCAGGTTCACCAGGCTGCTGCTGATGTTCGCTATGTTCCCAGCCTGTAAAACAGCGAGGCAAGGAACGGGTGTCACGGAGTGTGGGGGACTCAGGGCCCTGCCCCCCCGGCGTCCTGCGATTCACCACGACTCTCAGCCAGCCCGTAAAGCAGAAGGTTTCTTTAGACGACAGGAACACAGGCACAGACAACAGGACCCCCAGTTAGGTCCATCTTGGGGTCCCAGGGCACCACAGGCCCTTTGGGAGCTCAGAGCCCCGTCTGCCTCCCAGCCATGGCACCAGCCAGTTCTGAACTCTCTCTCCAGCCTTTGTTCAGTTTCCCGGGCCAAGGTGTCACCTGGCCTCTAACCCCTTCCTGGGTTCTCCTGTTACATGCTCAGGTATTCTCCCTCGGCCAGTCTCCCATCCCCCAATGCAGACCATCCCAGCCACACTCCCCCGTCAGCATTCACAGACCACAGTAAGAACAGGCCCAGTTCGTCACAACGGGCTTCCCTTCCGCTGGGAGCTTCCTGACTCTCACCCCTGGCTCCTAGCCAGCGCCAGCTCCCAAAGCAGGTCAGGGTCACAAGTCCCATTTTATAGATGGGGAAACTGAGGCAAAGAGCGGGGCAGTCAGCTGCCCAAGGCAGAGCCGGGAATAGAACCGGGTCTCCTGCGTCCCAGTGCAGTGCACCAGCCCCATAGCCCAGCTGAGCCCTGGCGTAGACCTTCTGGGTGGGCTCCTCTCCAGCGGCTGCACAGAGCTGGCCAGAGCCCCACCATTCGCAGCCGTAGGAGCTGCCATCAGCCAACATGCCCTCCCTAGCCAGGGGTCCAAGCAGGGTCCGTCACCCCAAGCACAGCCGGACCCCAGGGCTGTCCGGGAGGGGGGAGCTCTGAGTCCCTGCAGGGCACAGGACTCACCTGGGTCATGAGAATGGCGTTGCCCGTGTGATACATCACCACGCTGACGATGCCCCGGTACATGATCACGGAGACCAGGAAGATCATCACCACGCCCAGCTGGAAGGGGGCAAGGGGAAGCCCAGGCATAAGCAGCGGGAGGGGGGTGTCCCGGCGCTGAACTTGGGGAGCAGACGGCAGGGGGAGCAGGGAGCGCCCCCAGCTGGACTGCTCCACCGTGCCAGCGAGGCGCAGGCTCTGAGCATCCCGAACTGCCAACGCCCAGCCCCGGCCTGCCCTGGGCTCGATTCTCTTGTGGGGCTGGGAGAAGTGAGGGGTCTTGGGGGCCCGGGGCTGGTGTCAAACACAGGGGGAGGTGTTAGCATCCCCATGTGGGTCTCGGCCCAGCTTTGGGGGACACCCTGACACTCCGCCAGGCCCCTTTGCCACACTCCTGGCGGAAGGAGCCCATCCAAGGCAGCTGAAGGAGGACAGACGTCCCATGGAGACAGGCAGTCCATCCTTCCCACCTGCGCCAGGGGCTCCTTTAACGCGGGGCATCCGGAGAGTGACCCCTGCTGGGGGAAGCTGGAAGTGACACCAGACCCAGGCGCTGTCCATTCTAATCACCGCCATTCTCTTTGCCACGCCTGTTAACGATCAAAGCCCAAACTGTGGGGCCTCCCTCGCAACGCGCCCATGCTTCCCAGCTCCGCCGGGGTCCCTGCACGCTACGCTGGGGGGGATCGGGGCGGGATAGGAAGCCCTGCGCGCCTAAGCTGCCCCAGGCCAGTGGGGCTTAAATTCACTACCACCACGTGGTGGCCATTGTGCTGGCTGGCATGAGATGAGTTTGCTAGGTCTCCGTCCCAACCAGAGAGGAAGGCTGGCCTGGGACAAGGCCCGGCTAGGAGGCAGCAGAGCATGTTCAGAGCCAGAAGTCTGAGCTCCTGCTAGCAGGAGAGGAGGGAAAAGGCCTGGGGATGGGAATTGCCGTCGGCACTTTCCTCGCCCTGCTCCGGGGCCTACAAGTTTGATCCCCAGCCAGATGGTTCAAAGAACAGGGCAGTGTCCCCACCCAGGCACGTCTCCACCTCTCCCGGGCAGGGGATGTCAGCACAGGCCACGCCCTCCTCCTTACCATGATGACAATGGCCATGGAGCCCGTCAGGATGCGAGAGAGGCGGTCCCGCTTGGGGAAGTACGGCTCCTTCAGCCCCGTGATGGGGTTCTGCTCCATCCGTGGGGCCATGGCAGCGAACTCGGGCCTGGGCCGCTCCTGCAGGAAGGGAAACAGAGCCAGAGGGGGACTGGTGTGGTTCCCCCTCCCAGGGCATCCCCGCTGGGGAGAGAACAGGCTCTGCTGGACAGCTGGGCATCCGCAGGCATGCCCAGACCCTGCAACCCCCTGGACAAACTTTGCTGAATTAAGTGTAGGTATCGTGGGAGTTCCCAGCGTTACGACCGCCGGTGTTTGTGTCCTATTGTGGGAGGGCAAGTGACTGCTTTTCGGGGGAAACGGGGCTGATGCAAATGCTGGGAAGGTCCCGTGCTTCAGAGGACACTGTAAAAACAAGGGGCCAGACACGCTGAAGTAGTTTCCAATCTGCACTGGAGGAAAATTCCTTCCTGACCCCAAATATGGCCATTAGCTAAACCCTGAGCATGTGGGCAAGCTTCACCAGCCAGACACCCAGGAAAGAACGCTCTGTAGTAACTCAGATCTCACCCCATCTAACATCCCATCACAGGCCATTGGACAGAAATCTCTAGGGGGCGACACCTACTCTGCAAGCTCTCCTTTCGGTGCATTGCCCTGCGCATCACAGAGACCCAGAGAGGCTAAAGGGGGGACTCACACTCGGGGGGTGCTAGATCTGAGCACAAGCGGCGTGGAAATTGGGAGCCCAGGAGAACCCCCTGGGTGGGGCTGAAGGACTGATCACCAGCCAGAGCCCTGGTTCAAGTGGGGTGAGCTCTGCTCAGCTGTTTAGCACGTGTGCAGGTTCCTTTATTGGTTAATCGATTTTCTCGGCAATGCTTTTGCCGTACGAATCCATGTGCTTGCTGAGGGAGAGCTGGGTGGCGCCGTATAACTGCCGGCAACGCGCCGTTTGCAGCCTCTGGAGAGAAAGCAAAGTGCCAACGCTGGCCACCCGCCGCCTGCTTTTCTGGGCAATAGCACAGCATAAGCAGAGGGCTGCACAGCCCGGAAATACCCCGGGCAGCAGGGAGAGAGACGCGGGTCTCCACCCAAGAGGGGGGACAGCTGGGGAGGAGAAGGGTGGGGGCCCTCGGTGGGCTATTGAGGGGGATACAGGTTCAGGTGCCACGAATGGTGCCACCTGCCAACCCAATGCCACCGCTGAGGGAGTCGGTGCATCGCTGCGCTCGGCCCTGCTCCCGTGTCCGG